AGCATGAAATTCAGTCATATATTTCACTAACATGGTACTGACTAGTCGATTTGAACCACTGCTTCACGGTTCACTGACTGCTGTGGATGCATATTATCAAGGGTACAGCTTCATTAAGCCTTATGCAACCAACCATAAAATGTGTTGTTTTAAGCGGTGTGTCTTTTGGGAGGTCTATCTTATGGGAAGATACCGTTTTTTTCCATGGGGCGGGATATAAATGATTTATTATGCCTGATGATTTGTACAACACCACCCAAGCAGTGCACAACCGTGCACCCGGCATACATTGTAATTTGTTCGGTTGTAGAAAAAAGTCATAGGAAAAAAAGTCATGGAAAATGTCATAGATTTGGGTAGGAAAAAAGTCATAGAAAAAAAGCCATAAACTCAAAAAAGGTCAGTATTGATAATGTATTTATTTAACAAGTCATAACAATATTATCATCAACAGCACTACCCCCTTTGAACCTAACTTATAAAATTAATGTAATCATTCAAGTGAAATACATGACATCAGAAAATGCTCTATCATCATAAAACTTTCATCTGCAACAGCACTACATCAGTCAGTTGTCCTAGCACAATTTATTTAACGGAATGTTCCAGCCAATGCCGTGAAGAGTTCGGATCACAGTCTTACGGCCAGCGTGTCTTATATTAGCTGCTAGAAGGAAGCCATTTGAGTAAAAGCATTAACTGATAATCCCATGAGTTCATTAATCGGTGTGATATCGTCAAGCTCAAAGCTAGATAAACAAACAATCATGTGACTTGTGACTTTTAATCCCACAATCCGTTAAGAACTAAACAAATAATAATCTGTTCATTTCTCCTGTTTTCATAAGATCCAATTGCTTACAGCGTCAAACTAAAGGAATAATTAACTTGAAAGTGAAATAGTATAAAGAAAGTAAATAACTGGAGAACATGATGTTTTATAATAGTTATTTTTTCTATGACTTTTTTTCCATGACGCCTTTTCCTATGAATTTTTTTCTATGAATTTTTTTCCAATGACTTTTTTTCCATGAGGTAGGGTAAATGTGCATTGTACGTGCTTAGGAACCTTGAACTTGCAGTTACATTTAATTATTTGTGTACAGATATTGGTCTAGAATAATTTATCAATTCGTTTAGTCTTGAAGATGTACTGATGCAGGGACTCCATTATGTTCTTGTTGACATTGTTGGCAGTTAGAGGTGTTCCTAATTTTCACAGTTTGGAGTGAGTTTAGTTTTAGGCTGCACTCAGCAATATTCCAGCTATATGGCGGCGGTCTGTAAATAATCGAGCCTGGACCAGACAATCCAATGATCAACAGCATGAGCATCGATCAGCGCAATTGGGAACCAATGACATGTGTCAACCAAGCCAGCGAGCCTGACCACCCGATCTCGTTAGACGCCTCTTACGATAAGCATGGGTTACTGAAGGCCAATTCTAACCCGGACCTTCACGGGTTTCACAGTTTTGTCTTCTTGAGAGGGTACGTAAGTTTCAAAACATTTGAAGTAAATTTAGATATACCAGGATTATAATAGTAGGATACTTGTGCTTTTAAGTGATGGCTAAATTTGTGCACAATCGCCAACGTATGAAGGGACCAAGTAAGTCCTTCTAGGGTGGGTTGGGAGAAGGGGTGGTATGGGAGCATTGAGGGGGGGCAAGGCAGGCTGAGCGAGTGTAGGAATTGAGGGGCTATGGGCGGCCTTGACCGTGGAGTTTGTTATGGTTGGTGCTAGAGAGGCGGCGGGGGTCGGGGGTGGCTGGAGGCGCGCGGACTTCGGAGGAGACAGTAGTTGTTGGGAGGTAGAGTTGGCGTGAAATAATGATGGAATAGAGAGGCGCACGGACCTCTGAGAAGACAGGTGGTTGGAGAGAGGTGAAGTTATAGATGGCTTGATAGTGAGCAGAAAGTGGATCGAGATTGCTAGGTTGAGAGGTTGGCGCGGACGTTGGAGAGGACAGTCACGCACATATGGTGACTTTGGAGTGACTACATAACTATCCGTGAAACAATTAAGTAAAGAAACAATAGACGAGAGCTTTCAATACAACTGATAGCTCATGACAGGTAATTAATGACAGATGGTCGGATTGGGGTGTGCTGATAGTTATAGCCCGGGAAAGCCACTTTTAAGAAAACAAGAGTTGAAAATGGATTGGCTCAACCTGCAATGGGTATGGTTGAGTGATCGTGTGAATGTGGATCTCCTGGCAATGCGCTATTAGCTAATCCATGTTACCGTAAATAATGCAGATTTTTTAATATCGCTCGAAATTAGCCGAATTAAGTCAAAATGAATTGAAATTTGTGTCATGATGTTTATAAACATACGCTCATTCATTTACAACTTTCAAAACATGGAAAAACATGTATTTTGAGTAAAGTTAAAGTAAATCTTCTCGCCCATGGTCCAAAATGTTTTTCGCCCATGGGCGAGATTTTTTAATATCGCTCTACGTTAGTCGAATTAAGTCAAAATGAGTTGAAATGTGTTTCATGATGCTTATAAACATACACTCATTCATTTACAACCTCTCCAAAGCATGAATTCTGATCGAAATTAAACATTCTCGCCCATGGGCCAACATATTTTTCGCCCATGGGCGAGATTTAATAATATCGCTCTAAGTTAGTCGAATTAAGTCGAAATGAGTTGAAATTTGTTTCATGATACCCATAAGTATACACTCATTTATTTACAACCTCCCAAACATGGAAAAAACATGTATTTTGAATAAAAGTAAATATTCTCGCCCATGGGCGAGATTTTTTAATATCGCTCTAAGTTAGTCGAATTAAGTCAAAATGAGTTGAAATTTGTGACATGATGCTTATAAACATACACTCATTCATTTACAACCTCCGAAACATGAATTCTGATCGAAATTTAACATTCTCGCCCATGGGCCGACCTATGGGCGAGCGAGTTTAAATTTAAAGTTTTCGAAACAATTCTTTTTCATTTTTTCATCCTTGGCATATATTCATAACAACTGCATGTTTAATTTGGTCAAATCTCTTGTCAGAAAGTGCCCACAGTTCGGAGAGTTTCTGGACTTTTGTGAGTCCAGAATTAAATTGTGACGTGTTTTACGAAGTTGCACATGAAAACGTTCCCTCCAAATACACCATTAATGATCAATTATAATGGGAGACTTTACTTCTGATGATTCGAGGTAAAACAATTTATTATTCTTGTACCCAAAAGACAATGCGCGCAACAAAAGAGAAATCGCTAGATCATGAGTTAGAAAAGCATGAGGAAAGTTTACATTTATCAAATAGTCATGCTGAAAAACAAACTTTACTGGAAAAAAATTAATACAATTATAAACGATTTGGATGATATCAATAATTTTAAGATTAAAGGAATGGTGATAAGGTCGAAAGCAAAATGGATTGAACACGGCGAGAAACCAAGCAGATATTTCTTCAAACTCGAATCCAGACACTTTCTAGACAAAGCAACCACAGAAGTAGTAAAATCTGAAGGAACAATAATTACAGATAATGATGCAATACAGCACGAAACTAAAATCTTCTTGGAAAACCGCTGCAAATTCCCATCGTAATTACCAATTATTAAGAAATTCTGCGGGAAATAAACATTTATATAATACTCTTTTGAATTCATCCTTCATCATGCTCACATGCTATTCCAAATGGGAACGTGTTTTAGACAGATGTTTCACTGACAAAGAATGGATGATTTATAATATCATTCCAAACAAATGCACTAAAGGTACCTAACTTAGGTGGTTACAATATAGGATTATACACAACATTTTACCAACAAAGTCTTTTCTTTATAAAATAAAATACGTAGAATCACCACTTTGCTCCTTTTGTCAAAAAGATCTAGAAACTACTGATCACCTCTGTTGGAAATGTGAGGATGTAAAAGAAACTATGGAATAAAGTAACAAACTGGCTTTATACTGTTCAATTATCAGTAAACTCTACGTTTGAATTTTTTTTGTTTGGAATTAAAGGTGAAATTAATAATCATATAAATGTAATCAACCTTCTAGTCTAATAAAATATGTTCAAATGTGCCGCTAGAAACTATTTGCCTAACATCAATTTGATCAAAAAGAGGTTATTAAGTACTATGATGTTTTGAAATGTCTCCATTTATCAAATGGTACTGAACAAATGTTTATGTAAAATGATTTATATTAACCAATAATATTGTGTACATGTTTACATATTATATACCTCAGATGAATCACAATGTAGTGTCCGCTGTCTGCTTGTATAATCCTATAATGTATGCCTGTAAATAATATTGAAAATATTTTGGAAGTATATAATATAATGGAAGTTACGATTACCTTAGCGCAATCACTTTGAAAGCTTATGTTAAAGTATCGAAGTTACAATCCCCTCAGTACTAATGTTCTCAGCCTTCATTAAAGTATCGGAGTTACGATTATCTAAGCGCTACGGTTGTCGTAAGCCTATGTTAAAGTATTGAAGTTACGATCACCTTGGCGCTATGGCGCTCATCTGTGAGGCGGTGAGATAGCCTAAAAGTTAAAGCTTTCGCTCGTCATGCCGAAGACCCGGGTTCGATGCCCCACAAGAGTGAAGCCCATTTCTAATGTGCACTGCGTGATATTGCTGGAATATTGATAAAAGCGACGTAAGACCACACTCACTCATAAGTCTAGTTCTCCTTAGCGTTACGACTATCGTAAGTTTATGTTAAAGCTTATGATATTGGAGTTACGATCACCTAAACGCTACGGCGGATTTGTAAAACAAGGTCCAATGATGCAGGTATGTCTCATGAGCTCACATCCTATCGTCTAGGCAGATGACACAAGCGACTCTCACTTGAGTGTGTGAGTGAGTTTGGTTTAACGCCGCTTTTAGAATATTCGTATAATATCATGGCGGGGGACACCAGAAATGGGCTTCACACATTGTACCCATGTGGGGAATCGAACCCGGGTCTTCGGCGTGACGAACGAACGCTTTAACCACTAGCCTACCCACCGCCCCGACTTTCGCTTGAAAGTAGATCCAGTGTCCTGATATGATAAGAATGTTCAGACTTCATGTACAGCATTATATCAACTGGTCGAGTCACAGATGCTCGAAGTGTGTTAGGTTGCGCCATAGAACGAATGAAGATCACTTGGAGACAGGCTGGAGATTTTCAGTTGATATATAGTAAAAAATAATCTCTTACAAATTCTCCACAGCCTCACTGAAGTTCATCAGATCTTCCAGATTGTTCAACTGCAGGTCAGTTTTGATGTAATTGTGGAAGAATTCTGGGACCTGTAAACAAAAAAGAACTTTATCGTTGAGCAGTAATTAAATCATGTGAAAATTCTACATATCTGCTTTAGTAAATGCACAAATTTAAAAGTAACTGACGACATCTGTTCAACCATTACCAATCAAAAAGCAAAGCCTAAAACGTTTTAAAAATATTTTTTTCGTTTCAAATTAACAAAGTAAAGACAAGTAAAAAGAGGACTGGAAACACCGTGGCCCTAATACATTGATCATTGGTCAGCGGTATACAAGTAGGTAGAATGATAATTCTATGCCTTTTTCACCCCAGTCAAGACAACCTCTAAACAACTACGGACAAACAAACCAGTGGTTGATATTATGATGATCCGGTGTCACGCAAACACCGAGAATTGTATCCGATCCAACCTAGCCCCCTCTGAAGACAAGCAACAATTTGCTGAGGGCGTGTTTAACCAGTTTCATATCATAGCCTCATCCCATCTCCACCTCTTCCTCTTCGTATGAACCCATACCTCCATAACTGCAGTTATCAATGGAATAAGGTCCACGTCACCCTAAGGTAATACACATAGACAACAACACTGTATATTATCTTACCTTCATGTAAAATACTTTAATTTCATTGGTCAATGGCGCTTTAAGAAGTTTCCGTGTGACAACTTGAAAAAATATTACCCACTGCCAAGGTAACCGCCAAACTCCACCGAGAAGCTGTATCGCGAACAATCATATGACGTCATAATATGACGCATGCAGAGCCGTTCGAAAACCGTTCGATTAAACATAATTAACTATTTTTCCAGCAATTTTAAGTTTCACTGAATTTAAAAATCCAGTCGAGAGGCAGACGCCATTTTGTTTACATGTCATATAGTTGGTAGCGATCCTCCAAATAAAATAAAAAGATATTTTGTCTGATGCACGCCTCTTTGTAGCAGTGTCATCCATCGCCTACCGACTCGGGTAACACTGCTACAATGAGGTGTACTCAGACCGTATTACCTTCGAGAGAAGCATACAATTTATAATACCACTGCGTTAGTGTCATGAATATTCACTTACTCACATTACTACCATCTAAAGTCCTGCATGACCAAACATTTCTCAACTTAATACCCATACTTCATAATCTGAACCTAAAAGAACCTTTTCTGCGATAATTCAAATGCTAATCAACTGGCAATAACAAACCCTTACGCATGTCAACGATCGTAATTACGACATTAAGTGTCACTCAGTACCCCGATTCGACTCATAATTACGTGTAACTCATCCACATAACTTCAGGATTCTTATCAAATTCCTTATACACCTCACCGAGCATTACTTGTATAAATTAAATATATACTCAGCAGCAAAAGAAAACGTCAGTACGAATTCAAAATTAGACAGGCACTATAATAAAATCATTACAGAAATGGACATAATAAGCGGATCAAAAACATTTTTTGTGTACAATATGTTGACACATTAATGAATAACTCAATTTCAAGACATTAGGTGAACGTTTGCAGTCCATTGAAACCCTTGACTTCAGTATCTAGTGTGACCACCACAAGCGGCATTAATTGCATCACAGCGTCTATGCAGTGAGTGCACCGATCGATTGATGAAGGCCATTGGCACCTTGAACCACACTCTGAGAAAGGCCTGGCGCCATAAATCGGCTGTGTCCGACCTTGGTATGACATTATTCAGTCTCCTCTGAATTTCATCCCAAAGATGTTCAATTGGGTTTAAATCAGGACTACAGTCAGAATTGCAAATTATATCATTGTACAAAATTGCCACATAAATATAAATAGTACACATTTTTATCATTGACTAATACCCAACAGCTTTCTTATATGTGAAAATTTTCCGGACTCCACCAAAAAAGTTCTTTAAGAAACTATCATCACTGAAAACGCAAAAGTTGTTATCTGTCGCGTCGGGGTGAAACCGCAGAAACGGAACAGCCAGTCATGGCGGGGGACATCTCAAAATCTATTCCGGGAGACCTATCGGTTCCTCGTCTGTCGTAGTGTCATAGTCACGACTTAAAGGGATGACAAGTGGTGCCACAGTTGCCTGTTGTAAGCCATCCCGAGACCAGTAACCTTGTTCAATGACGTTAGCTATCTTGTTGACACAGTTTTGCCAAGTTTCAGTCGTGATTTTGTTGAGGGATTCCTTAACCAAAACCTCTATGTCACGTAATCTAAAAGTTGTGTTTGATCTGGCCCCATCTCCTTTGACAATACCCCATATCATTTCAATGGGGTTAAGGTCACAGTGATAGGGTGGAAGTCGCAGAATATCGTGACCCTTACTTTTTATGTAACTGTCAACTTTGTAGAAAGGTTCACCTTTGTGGGTTTTTATGATCTCACATAGCTGAGGCTTCGTTCCCTTTGAAGGCCGTGCGATCTGAAATTTGTCGAGCCATGATATCATATAAGAAAGCTGTTGGGTATTAGTAAATGATACACATGTGTACTTTTTATATTTATGTGGCAATTTTGTACAATGATAAAATTTGCAATTCATCGGTCCGTTTCTGATTCAAACGGACTGTAAAGGCTGGCCACTGCATAATGTTGACACCGTTCTGCTGTAGGAAGTCCCATGTAGCTCTGGCAGTATGGGCCCGGGCGTTATCATGCTGGAAAATGTTGTTCCGGTGACGTGCGAAATGTGATATGACGTGGGGTCTGAGAGCTTGGTCGATGTAGCGCACCGCAGTTTTGCCGCCTCCTCTCCCTGGAACAAGGTTCTGGAACACCACAGGACCCACACTCTGGCTCGAGCCTATTCCACCCCATACCACGATGCTTGCACCTCCCCATGAGTCTCTGTCCATAACACAATGGTCTGAGTAACGCTGGCCACGTCGTCGCCATATTCTTGTTCTGCCATCTGCAGTTCGACTCTCATCTGTGAGAACAGTTCTCCATTGCCTGTATCCCCAGTTTTGGTGTTGTAGGGCAAACTGTAGACGTTCACGCCGATGACGAGGGATGAGGATAGGTCCACGGTAAGGTCTACGGCAATAGAGGTTCCCGCTGTTCAAATGTCGGCGTACTGTATCAGTACTGATTGGTTTTCCGTGTGTTCCCACTGTCTGGCGTGCTGTTTCGGATGCCTGCATGAAGGGATTCTGTACATGCTGTCGCACAACATGGCGGTGTTGTTGTCTTGTGGTCACCCTTGGTCTGCCAGTACGGGGGCGATCATTTGTGGTGTTGGTGGCCCGGAAATGTTGCTGCAGTCTGTAGATGGTCCGAACGTTGACCTTGTGCAGTGTGGCCAGCTTCAAGTCTTCCTAGCGCCTGGTTCCTCTGAGCTGTCGTGAGAAGGGGCATCCTCCTGACGTTGTAATGTGAACGTTTCAACCAGGTTTGAGGGTGCATTTTATAGGGCTGGTCCTTGTGAACAGCACGTGCAGCATGAGTTGCATGAAAAACATGGAGAACACCGTACCATCACCGAGGTCAGGTTGCGTTTTTTAGACCATTTCCTGGGTTCCATTCTGAGTTTGGGAAGGAATGTCTTTGCTCAGGTAAAGTTGGAGATGTTGTCAAAAATATACAATCAAAACATTAAATGAATTTACATTCCAAACTGACGTTTCTTTTGCTGCGTTATATATATATATATATATATATATATATATATATATACGCACAAAATGTCTAAAATAGTACAGGTGTTCAGTCATAAATATTGCATAGATAAATAAAAACAGAATGCCTTTTTCTCCAACATTTTTCGTTCTTTACTCTTCAGGGAGATTGTAGCGGTTACAGTATGACGTCATTACATATATATTGTGACGTCACAATAGGGACAACATTCTAGAGCGACAAGGTCACAGCTTGCAATGGTTTAACATTGGTTTGTACTTGTCTATGAGTTTGTAGAGGCAGATGAAACTAAAACAGTTTACTTAGACACAATGGTCATCAAATCGGGGCGGAAATTGGACACAGACATCTTCTACAAACCTACAGATACGAAACAATATTTAATCTTCACTTGTCATCCGAGCCACACCAAAAGAAGTCTTCCATATAACCTGGCACGAAGAATATGTACAATAGTTTCAAACCAAGACACCCGCAATCAAAGACTGAATGAACTTAGGACGTTTTTACTATTACGGGAATATCCAAAATCCCTTGTTGAAGACGGAATATATAAAGCTTTACAGCTTAATAGAGAAGATCTTTTGACGATGAAACAAACCAATGAGGAAAAAGTAATTGCTTTTGTATCTACTTAAAATCCGTTGAACCCAAATGTGTTCCAGAACATAAAAACAAATATGTGCATCTTAGAACAAGATGAAAAACTGAAATCAATGCCGAAATCTAGAAAAATAATAAATAGCAAAAGACAAAATCAGAATCTTAAAAAGATACTAACAAAAGACAAATTTATTTTAAAGAAACAGAATTTATCAAATCCTACTGTGTCTAGATGCAACAGAGGTAACTGTGGAACGTGTCGACATATTGTTGAAGGACACTCTGTAACTTTCACGAGACACGGAGAATTCTAAGTAAAACAGAATTTTGACTGCTCTTGCAAAAACATAATATATGTCATAACATGCACAGGCTGTAATGAACAGTATATTGGTCAATCAGAAAATTTAAGAGCCCGGGTTCGTGTCCACAAACAACAAATAAAGTGTCCCGAAACCCGATGTATCCCACTGAGTGAACATCTAGATGTCTGTGCAAAAGGAAACGATGTTAAATTTACAATATTTCCTTTTTATCAAGTTCAAAATTCGGACAAAGTAAAACGAATTTTAAAAGAACACTACTTAATAGACAAGTACAAACAAATGTTAAACCATTGCAAGCTGTGACCTTGTCGCTCTAGAATGTTGTCCCTATTGTGACGTCACAATATATATGTAATGACGTCATACTGTAACCGCTACAATCTCCCTGAAGAGTAAAGAACGAAACATGTTGGAGAAAAAGGCATTCTGTTGTTATATATCTATGCAATATATATATACATATATATAGATACATATATAATCATGATAAGTATGATGTTATGAATATATCAGTTGTTTACCTCTTTTGACATCTTGTGAAGAAACATCAGTTGCTTTCCCGTGAGACTTTTCAGCGAAGAATGTCTGAAAAACAGTCTGAGTGAGTGATTGTAGTCACATCGGCAATATTCAGCCTTGTTGTGATTAAAACTAGTTCTACATACGTGATAAATGCAAAGTTGAATTATAAATAAACTGTCGACGAACGACAGTAATTAAGATCACAGAATTAGGTATAAAATTAGTTTGTAAATCTAAAACTTTCTTACTATTAACACAATACAATATACATACAGGCTATAGATCGCCAACAGCTGAAGGTAGATTACCATACTAGGGACCATGGGGACTTACGGTGCTTTTGCTAACTGCATGGACCCTAGCTGGATTTACATCAACCCTCCAGTCGTGGGCTTTTGTATTCCAGTTTAGCCAAACATTCAAAGAGCACATATTCTACGATTAAATAACATGTGGTAGGAAAACATTCATGAATGAAGAAGGGACTTAAATATGACGCTCAGAGGTGGCCTCTGAGCAACTAAAATTAAGACTAAATAGAGGTGCAGACATATTCTGAAACCAGGACACATTTAATGTCCATCATGCTTTCATTTCAGTGACTTAGGCCACTTCAATCTCGCAACTCTTGAATCGAAATTAACAGATTCAAATATCTCACTAATCTGAAGCATAGAGCTCCGTCAACTGATAAGACGACTACGATGAAACTTGTTCCCATTGTCAAATGTTATCAGATACTTACTTTTCCAAGTTCAGGTTACAAAGCCAGGTTTGGACATCTTTTTGTGACCAGTTGGCTGTACCATACGCGTCCCGACCAGCATCAGACGGTTGGGACTTCACAACTGCTGTTGTCTCCCCCTGAAACAATTTGGAAGAAACCTGTAGCAATGAGATATGCATAAGACGGTGAGTAAAGGGAAATCTCGTTAATACTGACGGTACCAGGTGAATTCGTCCTGATTAATCAATATCTGTAATAACAGAGTCATTGTTTTAGAGTAATATTCTGTGTACACGCGTCTTACAAAATGATACTAAATCGGGGTTCCCGGACCCACCCGGTTTTACTGTATCCGTATACTGACAACCTCTTAACCTATGATCATTATTTCTGACAACCTCTTAACCTATGATCATTATTTCTGACAACCTCTTAACCTATAATCATTATTTCTGACAACCTCGTAACCTGTAATCATTATTTCTGACAACCTCTTAACCTATGATCATTTTTTCCGTCAACCTCTTAACCTATAATCATTATTTCTGACAATTTCTTAAGCTTCTTATCTGCTTGAGCTACACTGAATATATTTTCTAAGGTGGTATTTATATCATTCGTAAACAACACAGATGAAATGTTAATGTGTTTTTTTCTCCAAGAAGGAGCAGTTCAAAGCTTCTACCTCAACAAATTAATTCCTTCCACTTCACCAATGGCCCATCACATCCTCAAAGCAAGTTCGGCATGACTTACAGGCTTTCCAGCAGGGCTTTCCAATGCGTCAAATCGCTGCTTTTTCACACTTTGCTTTTACACCCACTTAGAATATTGTTTATTTCGGAGTAAGCTATGGCATTACCGTTGCTATCTATCATTTGAGATATAAATGCTCTGAAAAGCTTTTGTCAGATGAAAAATACTCCTGTAAGGCTCGTTTAAGAACATAGGTGTTTCACGTATGTATCTGACTGGACAGAAATGTTGTCACTCACGTCAATACTATCGGCTGACGATCCCGCGTTGCCTCGAGCACCAAGTCCCTTCACCAACTCCGAAGCTTTCTTTTCGAAAGGGAATTTTCCGCTGAAGTTGAAGTAGAGTTTTGTAGCTGTTATGAACCCCAGCCAGCCATCAGGCTTGTAGTCTCTCTGTAGAAGGAGGGGTATTATGGGCTTCTGAAGGCTATAGGCATACTCAGCTTCTGTAATGTAAAACCGTTTAAACTTTGAGTCAGATTCGATGTGATGAAATGTTTCCAGCCAATACTCTTCTGAGATATAGTAAAGCACTATTGTTTTTTTTTGTGAAACCAACTAAAGGCATGCATCATTCACATTTTGTTTGTTTTTCAAAACTGACTGAGTGAGGATGGAGGATTTACTTTATCTTCAGGGTCAACTGCTTATCTCAAACTAGGTGTGACATGTAACATGGTTAAAAATGTTGAAAATGTCCTTAGTCAGGTTATATTGGAAAAAAACTATCCTTTCAAGTTTTAGATTGGAGGAAACATTCCATTTACGGATTTGATCGAAAGATATTGTCCCTTTTAGGATTAAAGAGAAGGTAACTGTCCCTTCCAGGATTAAACCCAAAATTACTGTTCCTAAATAAATAAATTTAGAATTAGATTTCCTTTCAGATAAATTTAGAATTAAATCTCCTTTCAGGGATTGGACCGGAAGTGACGCGTTCAATAATGACGTCCTTGCTGAAGCTGTCAGATATTGGGCAGACATGTCTTCTAAAACTGTAATATGGAAGCTTTATCATCCACATTGTTATTTGTCACAAACCGGTCTGTATGTACGAAACTGGGTACGAGTGAGCACCTGCTTGACAACCGTGTGAGTACCTACACCGAAACATCGCATTAAAGAATAACATTGCAATAAAGAAGTTGACTGTCCATAGAACTTCGATTGGAATCCCAAAACTGATTTTTTTTCTCATATATCGGGTTTTTTCTTTTACACATTCGGCACTTGGCATTGGGCATAGGGTATTTGGTATTTAAACTCTTATAATGCATTTCATTAACACATTTGGTGAGTGAGTTTAGTTTTACGCCGCACTCAGCAATATTCCAGCTATATGGCGGCGGTCTGTAAATAATCGAGTCAGGACCAGGCAATCCAATGATCAACAGCATGAGCACCGATCTGCGCAATGGGGATCCGATGACACGTGTCAACCAAGCCAGCGAGCTTGACCACCCGATCCCGTTAGTCGCATTTTACCATAAGCATGGGTTACTGAAGGCCAATTCTAACCCGGACCTTCACGGGTATAAACACATTTGGAATTCGAAACTTCAGCGTCCTTGTAACTATACTCTTTGCACCTTCATCTGTTAAACCTGACTATCCTCGACGTTGCCGTGCACATAGTCAACGGACCTGAAGCCCTTCCTGCTTGCAAGCGTCAACCCTCTATCGAGCAAGGAGGAACAATGTAAATATTCATTATTTCATCCCCCTTCGAATGTACTAGGGCTCTTTGTATACCTGGATAACTTTAAAACATAAACAACCAAACTACAGTTTCCGATATTTAAACCTCAAATCTCAGTTTTCTTAACAATCGGGTTTCGGGATTTTAATCCCGAATCTGATATTTTTGCTTCATATTCCGGATTCGAATCCCGAATCTGAATTTTTTCTCATATTTGGGTTTTTCCTTTTGCACATTCGTCATTCGGCATTGGGCATTCGGTATATGGTATTTGAACTCGCATTATGCATTTCATTAACACATTTGGTAAGTGAGTTTAGTTTTACGCCGCACTCAGCAATATTCCAGCTATATGGCGGCGGTCTGTAAATAATCGAGTCAGGACCAGGCAATCCAGTGATCAACAGCATGAGCACCGATCTGCGCAATGGGGATCCGATGACACGTGTCAACCAAGCCAGCGAGCCTGACCACCCGATCCTGTTAGTCGCCTCTTACGAGAAGCATGGGTTACTGAAGGCCAATTCTAACCCGGACCTTCACGGGTATTAAAACATTTGGAATTCGAAACTTGAGCCTCCTTGTAACTATACTCTTTGCACCTTCATCTGTCAAACGTATCTATCCTCGATGTTGCCGGGCACCCTCGGAGATAGTGCACGGTCCTAAAGCTCTTTCCGGCTTGTATTCATGAGCTTTCGTTGAACATCGAAAATAGACCAACAAAGTCAATAATTTGAAAAACACATTTTTTAAGGACAATAATGCATCAATAGCTATCTGAGATCAAAGGGGAAATGCGCCAGGAGGAAATCTGTTTGTTTGTTTTGTACTTCTTGTAATTGTATGACACATTCCTTCTTACTGCTCATGAGAGAATTTGAGATTGACACATTTGAGGGCAATAATGCATCAATAGCTAGCTGAAGACGAAAGGGTCAATTAAGCAGGCTTGTTTGTTTTGTAATTGTAGTAATTGTATTAAACATTCCTCCTTACTGATTATGGAGTGTGATTGTAAGACGTTTATCCACTCTACAAGGCCAACTATCGGGTTTGCTGATGAGCAAATTTGAGATTGACTCATTTGAGAATTGAGCTCATTTAGAAACAGTATATAATAACACCTGCACCTCAGAAAGGTTCATATCCAAAATGGAGTCTGAGAGAGTTGCGTTTCAGAGGTACCTGTTTGAATTGTACAACACCAACAAGCGAGTATTGATTTCAAGAGATGAATATCAAAAGACCATAAATGAATTGTTGGTAGCTGAATCATCAACAAGGAAGTCCTCTCATCAGTATTATCTGCTCAAAAAGTGTGCAGTCCTTCAATACGGTGAAGCGAAGAACTTGATTAGAAAGAAAGAAGAGCATGAAGATCCTGTATATTTTGTCTCCATAGAAGACACTTTTGGCATCATCCAGAGAGCCTATATTGCAACAGGGTGGTAGAGACAATATGCTTAAAACGTTACCAAGAAGTATGCCAACATCATGCATGAATCCCTGAGTTTTTTCAAGTCTTCCTGCATCCAATGCCAACAGAAAAGGAAAAGGACAACTAACAAGTGCGTTGTTGTTCGCCCCATCATCTCCAAGGCCTTCACGAGCACAAGTCGACTTGATTGACATGCAATCCATGTGTCAAGGTCAATTCAGATGGATTATGCATTATCATTACCATCTCACTAAGTTCTGTGTGCAGAGACCATTGGCCTCCAAGAAGTAGTGTATCAGTTGGTCGACATCTTCCTGTTCATTGGTACACCACCAATCTTGCAGAGTGACAATGGTTCAGAGTTTGCTGCTGCCGTCAGTGTCACAGGAGGAGGTGTCACAGATGTTGCCTAGCACTAAGATCATACATGGTAAACCACGTCACCCCCAATCCCAAGGTTCCATTGAGGATGCCAAATGTGATGTGAAGGATATGTTAGTATTGTTGTTTGTGTATGATGCCTAGTGTAGAATCTGCACAAATACCGAATATACACACACAAAAATCAGATTCGGGATTCGAATCCCGAATCTGAAAAAAATATTCAGATACGGGATTCAAATCCCGAAGTCCGAATGTTTAAAGAAACTCAGGTTTGAGGTCCAAATATCGAAAACTGTAGTTTGGATGTTTATGTTTTTTCCAACGAGCACCTAGTACATTAGAAGGGGGATGACATATAAGAGTTCAAATACCGAATGCCGACTGTCGAATCCACAAAATTACCGAATATGACAAAAAGATCAGATTCGGGATTCGAATCCCCAATCCCGAATCCGTTTCTAACTTCATGATGCTCAGTAATTACAGAGATTTTGTTATGATATGCAGCGGCGAATACAGCTTTTTGAGAAAGGGGGTGCACACTGTTGAGAAAGACGGGGTGCACACTTCTTTTTCACCCGTTTTCAATGGTCATTTAATATCGGCCTGTAATACAACTGAAGCTACTGTAGTCGTCCAACCCACCTGACCTGCAGTTCTGATTCAGCTTGTACCCCTCCGACATACACACCAACACAACAGACGCGTTCTCAACGGCCTCCGCCATCGTCTGCAGCTTGGACCCCTCCATGTTGTCGATGTTCATCCACACCTTAAAGTTATGGCCTTTCAAAAACTCCTTCACCTTCAAGACAAGTTTAATATTTAGAAGAATAAGATCGGATTTGTTTGCTTTTACGCCACTTTGAGCAGTATTATAATGTCCGATCGACGAGAACGGAAAGCACATTTACCATAATGCTGAAACCCAAAATGAGGTGGAAATATAGCCAGAATAAGTGAGTGAGTATAGTTTAACACCGCTTTTAGCAATATTCCAGCCATATCACGGCGGGGGACGCCAGAAACGGTCTTCACACATTGTACCCATGTGGGGAATCGAACCCGGGTCTTCAGCGAACGCTGTAACTGTTAGGCTACCCCACCACTACAACCAGGATAAAAACCTAGGTTTGCTGCACGTCAAATGGACACAGTCCACACTGAGAATTATAGACACAACCTCGTATAGATAGACATCCGAAGAATATACCAAAGGATTAAAACAGTAAATGTTCTGATTAGTTCATGTCGGAGTACAAGACAAAAATACCTTGATAAGCATTTTCTGATCCGCCCACTGATAACTGATCATTATGTGACCTGCATCCTTCACCTTTCTGTCCTTCTTCATAACATCCTTCTTCTTCAGTTCTGCTCGAAATTAACGTGGGATACAATCTTGATAACAATTGACAAAGTACCACGCCATAACTTGAATCAATCTTTCAGTTCACTGACAGTTAAATCTGGGCGTATTGTCGTAAATATTTAATCGCCTTTCATTACATTCACATGCATGGTGGGGACGCAACATTAAATATTCCCGTAAGAAGGACCAGGTACTTTTGGCCAGAATACATTTTTAGGTCACTCCTTCAAACAGGCATGTTTCTGTGAAAGGAGGATCAAATTCAAATGATACTTTTCTAATTGTACTGGTTGAAATGAAACAGGTTTTCAAAAATAAATGTCCAGTAAGGAATGGACGTTCTCTCACTTTGGTTCTCTCTCTCCCCCTCCTGGGTGATGACCCAAAGTGCGCCCCCGGAAACTTTGGACAGTTTATTGTTTTGTGACTCGTTCAGTTTTCTCAGTATCGCCATCAGTTCAGCGTTTTCCTGAAAACATCATATACAAATAACCCAACATCAGAACAAGTAGGGACAAATAGGATTGTTGTAGTTCTTTAAAAACAAAGCACATCCGTCACTCCAAAGATCGGGATCTATTCCAAGGATGGGTGAACGAAGAAACCAGGGCTGGATGTCAATTGTCGTGATATTTGGGAATATTGCTATAAGCGGACTAAAATCCTGAATCATTTACGAGATAAACATCTTGAGCTGGGCAATTTCCGGGTGTCGTTGAGTATTTGAAGCACGGGAGTTCATTTGGAACTGATGATGTTGACCAACACAAGATGTTTATCGACATTGTAAGCAGAAAAGTACACCAAAGGTCCACACGCGTTTTTCTGTCTGCGCTCATTGACATCGAGTACGGGTACAGCAGTGAAGTGTCATCAGCCGACCGTTCTGGTTCCATGATAGCATTTGCTCATTTGTCACGTCATTCGACTTTACGTTAAAATATGATCTGATCGATGCCACCACTGCTGACTACGCAACAATACAATTTGTATGCATTAATACGCAGCGAATAGTCTTGAAACTTCAAGGAATCGAACACGATTCGATCATGTTTTTCTACCAGATTAAAGAACACAGTGACTTTTGGTTTGCAATGTTAAATAATTTAATTATAATCATTTGACTGGATCATTGATTTATGTTGACATCTCTCACAGCGAGACAAGCAAGCACTTTAAGCACTTGATAGCTTACCCCACCATTTTCCTTACCCGACTCTCATATCTATAACAAGTGGTAAAGACGATGAAATTCATTTATTGAAAAAAATTAATTTGTCAGTAAATCCTATACTCTGAACATACATATCACACAACAGGTTGATGAAACCTGACTTTAATGACCTACCAAGAATATACGTTGATTATCCTTGTCGAATGCAAGCTCCCAAACACACTGAACTGCCTTCTCTCGCTCATCATCCGATCCTTCCTGCATCACAGTCATTAGTACATTGATCGCTCCCTTCTCTGTGAGGATCTTCTTATTGTCGTCATTCTTCGCCAGTCCCGTGAGCCCGGCTATCAGCTCAGACGCAGAGAAGCCGTTGCAGCGATGACGTTGATCTCTCCAGGCGTACAAGATCATGTTCAAAATTATGGTAAAGACGGTACTGTCAGCTAGAAGAGCTTTATTGTCATCCTCGTCGATTATGCTCGCCAGCAGCAGAAGAATAATCATTTTAATTTCTGTTGAATCAAGAAAGGTGGAAAATTCAAAGACTCTGAAGTGAGTGAGTCTAGTTTTACGTCGTTATTTCTGCAGTGTCATACTGGAGGATACCAGTTATGGGCTTCACACATTGTACCCCTCTGTAGGTTAACCAAACGTCCCCTGATAGACTATGTATATGTACATAGCTTTGTTTGTGAAGCGGGTCCCATGGTACAAGATTTTAGGAAGTTACATCAAAAAAGCCTAATAGAATATTACCCCATCTAGCAAATCTGGAACTTATCATTCTCAGAATGCTGCCATTTTGTTTCTTAGAAGGTGTGATTTATGACTTGTCACAAGCTATTTGGGACAAATTGTAAATACACAAACTTCCTATGGTCTGAGGACAAATTATATTATCATAATCATGAGCCTCGATTAACGTGTAAGCAATAGGGCCTGTTAGTGTCGCGAGGCTCTACTTCCGGTACTAAGCTGGTTCCCAGCTTCCTTTGCGCGCGCCAATTTGCGATATGCGATGCAGCCTAGTTTACTTCCGGTACCAGATTTCCGGTGACAACTTATATTCAAGAGCCAGTTCTGGTTCCAAACATTCTCTTCCTACAGAGGTTACTTGTCATAAGACGGGTGTTCTAATTACGGCCAACGCATTCTCCCCACAGAGGTTCATATCTTCCTACGAACCTCTGTTCTAATACGGCCATATTTCCCAGTTCTCGTAAAATCCCCTAGCGGCAAAAATCGCAACACGAGTTATCTCCCTTCTGTCTATCCAATCAGAACACGTGTAACATCGACTTAGATCCAACCTGACTAATACAAGCAAATATGGGGCCACAAATATCCCTCCTCTGCCGGGGACTTGTGTTGATGTGACACACAAGGCATTTAATGGCTAGCTTATCCGTTGTCAACGAGGGCGAGGGAGACGCCATTGAAGCGCTATTACATGACTGAGTTCTGTCTAGAAGAAACGTTTGCGCATCGCGCAGGGGAAGAGGTTCTAGTTTTCCCGAAGCATACGGAAATTACCGAGACCTTGCGAATGATCACTTTTGAAACAACGTCGCTGATTGCACAACTAAATCTGATTGCAACCAATCACGAATCCTGAACACTCGCACCACGAAAGGGCCGTATTAGAACAGAGGTTCGTAGGAAGATATGACAAGTAACCTCTGTGGGAAGAGAATGGGTTCCAAATTGCGCGACCGCCAAATATGAGTTTACTAGACCGGACAGATGTTGACAGTCCTAATAGTTGCCTAATTTGGGGATGGCTTGATCGGAAATTTGTTATTCCTGCAAGTATTATCGGTTCCTGACAGCCATAAGGCCTATCGAAAAGGTTTGAAACGCTGTTTGTCACCGGAAGTACTGAGGTCTCGCGAAGTGCCGTGACCTACTTACGAGCCCTATTGGAATACGATCACATGCATCAACCACGTCAACGACTCTGACCACTCGATCCCGTTAGTTGCTTCATTCGACTGCCACAACTTTCTTCATACCAATTCATTCTTTGGATCTTCACGTCAACAGTAATTAAAGATATTTGTTTGGGATATGGCACTACTAACTATTTTTATAGGTCGACAGATATAGCATATACAGAAATATATTGTATATATTGCAGTATTTCATTCCTGTCGGCGCCACTCACCTGGGGCTTCACCTTTGAGGTAGCCCATGGCTACAGAAACTGTTCCCAGTTCCCTGATAGGTTGGCGGGTGATGGGGTTGTATGTGCAGTTGTGGAGGACACCCGTAGCAGACTGGAAATAGATGTCACGTACGGATACCTGCACAACAACGATGAACAACAGGCCGTCAACAGATTTACTCAGCAAACTATTAATTGTTGTTTCTTTGTTTCTTTGTTTGTTTAACGCCGCACTCAGCAATATTCCAGCTATATGACGTAAATAATCGAGTCTGGACCAGACAATCCAGTGACCAACATGATTAGCATCGACACATCGACGATGTCATGTGTCAACCAACTAAGCGAGTCTGGCCATCCGATCCTTAAAGTCGCATGGGTTGCTGAAGACCAATCCTAACCCGGATCTTCACAGATCAACAAACCATTAAAAATGAATAATAACAGACCTTCAGCAAAGATTTATAATAGCTCGTCAATGTAGATACAAAACAAAAAATATTTGTTGATAATTCTATGGAGAAGCAACTTCAAGCAAGTACAATATGAATGCCCTCCTCCCCCCACCCTCCCGTAAAATTTATGTACAAAGTGAGTGACCCCTCTTGCATGTCATGTTCAATGACCTCTCTCTCTCTCTCTCTCTCTCTCTCTCTCTCTCTCTCTCTCTCTCTCTCTCTCTCTCTCTCTCTCTCTCTCTCTCTCTCTCTCTCTCTCTCTCTCTCTCTCTCTCTCTCTCTCTCTCTCTCTCTCACACACACACACACCACACCCAGCCATACGAACGTTCCCATTTGGTGCAATGTTGAAAGTACATACTTTGTCAGGGCTACCAGCTTCCTTCAGAACAGCCTCCAGGTCCCCCACAAAATATCGCAGGAGGCCACTGTTGCAAACCCTCTCGCCGAACTGGACACTGGCGTCCGTGTAGTTCCACAACAACCCCTAATATCACGGACAAATGTGTAGCTGCCCTCTGACGTCAGCTGTGCTCGAGCTACTTTATCCGTCAAGAACTCAAGTTTCCTGGCTTTAAGATACAAACTATACGCCTTGTATATAACATCTGCAGCACGCGTGTAGGACAGGTACTCTGCGAATATCCGTCTGTGTGACTCATCCGTGTTCAAGTATGAAAGTCCTATTGCCTTATGTGCGAGCACCCTAATCCGTTTTCCGTTTGACGCCAAAGCGGGATCGTCTTCGAGAGCATTTACTAAGGAGTTGATGTCTTCAAACCCGGATTTTAACATAGGATGTTTGGTGACTAACTGCTGAGCCAACTTCAGACAGTCTTCATTGAAAAGAGGTATATCCGTACTCATTGTAGACAATAGGGTTGGAGTCTGGTCAGGTGGTTTGCTGGGAGTATGTAACCCTGATTCCTCTTGGGTCTGTATCAGTTGAATGTCAGATGTAGCAACTCCGTGTTATAGTTGAACTGGATAGCTCTGCATCCAAGATACCGATATTGTTTTCTCCAGGAAGGTGAGGTTCTTCGACTGTCGATGCCAACTTACGGTCTGGAGGAACCACAGGAAAACTCGTTCCACATACTACAGGAAGGAGGATGTTTTGTCTACTGCCCCTGTGGTTGTCTGGAAAGAAAGAGGTAAAATATTATTTTTTTATTTACATTTTGTTCAAAAATACAGCATCCGTCGGGTATTCTACACTTTTGAGGTGTCATGACGACCTGTGATTAGTAAGTAAATCCCAGTGACTAATTAGTAATATCTTGTTAACACAGAGAGATTGGTGCGCGTGCGTGCGTGTGTACGTAACAACTCGATTTCCAAAGTTTGCAACAACATGTTAATCCTCTTGACCGTTCAGTAAACGAGTAATTTAATTTCCTGGGGCTGTGATTCTTTAGAAAAAATCTTATATTTGACAGTATTGTCTTACTGAGTTAATAAATATCATTGTATATGCTTATATCATACAATTGATGTCCATCATGTTTTTACTGAAATCTATCTATACCGGTACTGGACATGCAGTCTGCCTCTTTTAGTATGTTTACTGGGTGTATACAATTTCCTTCTACGTAAACGTTTTACGTGGTGTTTTACACTGTCAGAGATGGAAGCACATGGTGAAGTGGCGTGACTATCTCCTTCAACAGGTACCGTGAGAGCCTCGGGGTCATCTCTCTGATCACCTGCTGAACCGCACCCCATCAGCTACCATCATCGAGGACAGGAGCCACAGGAGAACAATGTTCAGGGAAGCCAGGGGGACCACTCACCCATAACACTGAACCGTTATGTATCTACCGTTACGGTTTGGGGCATACCAAGGAGACGAACTATTAGAACTCGTAGACCTTGTATGGTTGCCAGTGACTACTGGTAGTACAACTAGACCGACCTAGGACAAGGCGTTAGTATTAAGTCTCCATTGCGTAATAATATCAGTCCTAGGCTGAGGCTGTGTCTTTCTAGAGACAGTTAAGTTACCAAATTTTTCGAATAGACGCTTATGATCAAGGCACAGATCTCGGGGACCAGCTAAAGTAACAGACAGTCAGACAGAACAGACAGACAGACTGGCAGACAGAAAGAACAGACAGACAGACAGAAAGAACGGGCAGGCAGGCAGACCAGACCAGACCAGACCAGACCAGAACAGAACAGACCAGAACACAAAGACAGACAGAACAGAACAGAAAAGACAGACAGACAGACAGACAGACAGACAGACAGACAGACAGACAGGCAGACAGGCAGGCAGGCAGGCAGACAGGCAGAAAGAACAGAAAGAACAGGAAGTCAGGCAGACCAGACCAGACCAGACCAGATCAGATCAGAACAGAACAGACCAAACCAGACCAGAACAGAACAGAACAGAACAGAACAGAAAGACAGACAGACAGAACAGAACAGAACAGACAGAGAGGCAGGCAGACAGTCAGACCAGACCAGACCAGACCAGACCAAAACAGAACAGAACAGAACAGAACAGAACGAAAGAAAGAAAGAAAGACAGACAGAACAGACAGGCAGGCAGGCAGGCAGAAAGAACAGAAAGAACAGACAGGCAGGTTGACAGACCAGACCAGGCCAGATCAGAACAGACCAAAACAGAACACAAAGACAGACAGACAAAACAGAACAGAAAGACAGGCAGGCAGGCGGGCAGAAAGGACAGACAGAACAGGCAGCAGGTAGACAGGCAGACCAGACCAGACCAGACCAGACCAGACCAGACCAGGACAGACCAGAACAGAACAGAACAGAACAGAACAGACAGACAGGCAGTCAGACAGGCAGACCAGACCAGGCTAGACCAGACCATACCAGACCAGACTAGAAAGACAGACAGACGAACCAGAACAGAACAGAACAGACAGGCAGGCAGGCAGGCAGGCAGGCAGGCAGGCAGGCAGGCAGACAGACAGACAGACAGACAGAACAGAACAGAACAGCAAGAAAGACAGACAGAACAGAATAGAAAGGAAGGCAGGCAGACAGGCAGGCAGGCAGAAAGAACAGAAAGAACAGGCAGGCAGGTTGACAGGCAGACCAGACCAGACCAGAACAGAACAGAACAGAACAGAACAGACCAGAACAACAGACAGACAGACAGAAAGGACAGAACAGAACAGAACAGAACAGAACAGAACAGAACAGAACAGAGACAGAACAGAACAGACAGACAGGAACAGAAGGCCAGGACCAGAACAGAACAGGACCAGACCAGACCAGAACAGAACAGAACAGAACACAAAGAAAGAACAGACAGACAGAACAGACAGGCAGGCAGGCAGGCAGGCAGAACAGAACAGAAAAGGACAGGACAGACAGGTTGACAGGACCAGACCAGGCCAGGACAGACAGAACAGACCAAAAGACAAGACAGAACAGAACAGACAGAACAGAACAGAAAGACAGACAGACAGGCAGGACAGGACAGGGGAACAGAAAGAAGGCAGACAGAACAAGCAGCAGGTAGACAGGCAGACCAGACCAGACCAGACCAGAACAGAACAGAACAGAACAGAAAGACAGACAGAACAGAACAGAACAGAACAGAACAGACCAGACCAGACTAGAAAGACAGACAGACGGACCAGAACAGAACAGAACAGAACAGACAGGCAGGCAGGCAGGCAGGCAGGCAGGCAGGCAGGCAGGCAGACAGACAGACAGAACAGAACAGAACAGCAAGAAAGACAGACAGAACAGAATAGAAAGGAAGGCAGGCAGACAGGCAGGCAGGCAGAAAGAACAGAAAGAACAGGCAGGCAGGTTGACAGGCAGACCAGACCAGAACAGAACAGAACAGAACAGACCAGAACAGAAATACAGACAGAACTGAAGAGACAGACAGACAGACAGACAGTCAGACCAGAGCAGACTAGACCAGACCAGACCAAAACAGAACAGACTAGAACAATACAGAACAGAACAGAACCGAACCGAAAGACAGACAGGAAGGAACAGAAAGACAGGCAGACAGAACAGACAGACAGACAGACAGTCAGACCAGACCAGGCCAGACCAGACCAGACCAGACCAGACCAGAAAGACCAGAACAGAACAGAACAGAACAGAACAGAAAGACAGACAGACAGACAGGCAGGCAGAAAGAACAGGAAAGCAGGCAGGCAGGCAGGCAGGCAGGCAGAAAGAACAGGCAGGCAGGCAGGTAGACAGGCGGACCTGACCAGACAAGACCAGAGAAGGCCAGAGCAGACCAGAACAGAACAGAACAGAGCAGACCAGAACAGAACAGAACAGAACAGAACAGAACAGAACAGAACAGAACAGAACAGAACAGAACAGAACAGAACAGAACAGAACAGAACAGAACAGAACAGAACAGAACAGAACAGAACAGAACAGAAAGACAGACAGACAGAACAGAAAGACAGGAAGACAGACAGGCAGGCAGGCAGGCAGAAAGACCAGGCAGGCAGGAAAGCAGGCAGGCAGGCAGGCAGGCAGGCAGGCAGGCAGGTAGACAGGCGGACCTGACCAGACAAGACCAGAGAAGGCCAGAGCAGACCAGAACAGAACAGAGCAGACCAGAACAGAACAGAACAGAACAGAACAGAACAGAACAGAACAGAACAGAACAGAACAGAACAGAACAGAACAGAACAGAACAGAACAGAACAGAACAGAACAGAACAAAACAGAACAGAACAGAAAGACAGACAGACAGAACAGAAAGACAGGAAGACAGACAGGCAGGCAGGCAGGCAGAAAGACCAGGCAGGCAGGCAGGCAGGTAGACAGGCAGGTAGACAGGCAGACCAGACCAGACAAGATCAATACAGAACAGAATAGAAAAGAACAGAACAGAACAGGAAGACAGACAGGCAGGCAGGCAGGCAGGCAGAAAGAGCAGGCAGGCAGAAAGAGCAGGAACGCAGGCAGGCATGCCTACAGGCAGACCAGACCAGAACAGCACAGAACAGAACAGAAAGACAGGCAGACTGATAGAAAGGCACACCAGACCAGACCAGACCAGACAGAACATAACAGAACACAGACAAACAGAACAGAACAGAAAACAGGCAGACAGACAGGCAGGCATGCAGGCAGAAAGAACAGGCAGGCCAGACCAGAGCAGACCAGAGCAGACCAGAGCAGACCAGAGCAGACGAGAACAGAACAGAACAGAACTGAACAGAACAGAAAGAAAGACAGACAGAACAGACAGGCAGGCAGGCAGGCAGAAAGAACATAAAGAACAGGCAGGCAGGTTGACAGACCAGACCAGAACAGAACAGAACAGAAAGACAGACAGAACAGAACAGAAAGACAGGCAGACAGACAGGCAGGTAGGCGGGCGGGCAGAAAGAACACACAGAACAGGCAGCAGGTAGACAGGCAGGCCTGACCAGAACAGAACAGAAAAGAAAAGAAAGACAGACAGAACAGAACAGAACAGAACAGAACAGAACAGAACAGAACAGAACAGACAGACAGACAGTCAGACAGGCAGACCAGACCAGACCAGAAAGACAGACAGACGGAACAGAACAGAACAGAACAGACAGGCTGGCAGACAGACAGGCGGACCAGACCAGACCAGACCAGACCAGACCAGACCAAAACAGAACAGAACAGACCAGAGTAAAACAGAACAGAACAGAACAGAAAGACAGGCAGACAGACAGACAGGCAGGTAGGCAGAAAGAACAGGCCGTCACGTTGACAGGCAGACCAGACCAGACCAGAACAGAACAGAACAGAACAGAAAGACAGACAGAACAGAACAGACAGACAGACAGGCAGACAGACAGGCCGACCAGACCAGACCAGAACAGAACAGAACAGAAAGACAGACATACAGAACAGAACAGACAGACAGACAGGCAGACAGTCAGGCCGACCAGACCAGAACAGAACAGAACAGAACAGAACAGAAAGACAGACAGAACAGAACAGACAGACAGGCAGACGGACAGTCAGACCAGACCAGACCAGACCAGACCAGACCAGAACAGAACAGAGCAGAACAGAGTAGAACAGAACAGAAAGACAGACAGAGTGAACAGAACGGCAAGACAAGCAGACAGACAGGCAGGCAGGCAGGCAGGCAGGCAGGCAGAAAGAACAGGCAAGCAGGCAGGCAGACAGGCAGACCAGACCAGACCAGACCAGACCAGAACAGAACAGAACAGAACAGAACAGAAAGACAGACAGTCAGAACAGAACTGAAAGACAGGCAGGCAGGCAGGCAGGCAGGCAGGCAGGCAGGCAGGCAGGCAGGCAGGCAGAAAGAAAGAAAGAACAGACAGAACAGGCAGTCAGACAGGCAGACCAGACCAGACCAGACCAGAACAGAACAGAGAGACAAACAGAACAAAACAGAAAGCCAGTCAGACAGACAGGCAGGCAGGCAGGCAGGCAGAAAGACCAGACAGGCAGGCAGGCAGGTAGACAGGCAGACCTGACCAGACCAGACCAGACCAGACCAGACCAGACCAGACAGACAGACCAGAACAGAACAGAACAGAACAGAACAGAACAGACAGACAGGCAGACTAATTAAACAAAAACAGTCCTCGGGTTAACTTAAGTGTGGCTTTCTAATTAGCTTTTAGATAGCACATATGTCATACAAGAGATATCAGTCTCTACCTTTCTAGAAATACAATTCCATGTGTAGAATTTAGCATTGATGTATGAAATCTGTTCATCAAAGAGCTGGAGCAGGTAAAGTATACACGTCCTGATCTCACTGAAGTCACTGTCGTTAACACACAATATTCCAGTTAACGGTCAGTGTGTGAAGTCCATTTCAGTGTGTGAAAGTCCCCTGGTGTCCCCGTGCAGGAATATTGATAAAGCTTAAAGCTACGCAGAACAAATTCAGGTGCACTTCGAAAGAAGAATTACACAAATAAACAAGGAAAGTGATTCATCGGCACGAGACTGAGCATAGCACTGACTAATGAACTTGACTTTTGCAAAATGGAGTTTTTACAGTTAGAATCTCGCCATTCACTTTGACTAAAGTTGCGACCCTTCAGTTTAGTTTTACGCCGCACTCAGCAATATTCAAGCTATATGGCGGCGGTCTATAAATAGTCGAGTCTAGACCAGACAATCCAGTCACCTGCATGAGCATTGACCTACGCAATTGGGATACGATGACCTGTGTCAACCAAGTCAGCGAGCCTGACCACCCGATCCCGTTAGTCGCCTCTTACGACAAGCCTGGGTTACTAAAGATCAATTCTAACCCGGATCTTCATGGGTGTTTAGTTAACAAGGGACCCAGACATGCCAACCATATCGCACCAAAATCGCATGATTTGATTAATATACTTTATTGCTTTCAACTAGTTGAGTTGTGTGAACTTGCTATTTTAAACGACAAAATGACAGCGGTAAAATCTTTTAAAATTTGAGTTACGTACAAATGCGATCTTGAGCGATCTTTGAAAATATCTGGAAATGTTGAAACAAATTATCACAGTAAATAAATCATCAAAGAAAACAAGGCAATTAAATTTCACTGTCTCTCTGTTTTGATAATGTGCGTTTATTTAAAACCACACCATTATATTCCTTTGCAGAAAATACGAGCTGAAGATTAACAAATATATATTTTTGCTTTCTTGCATGCACGACATTGTCTACAACTTGAACTGAGTGGACGATTTTTCGGTGTTCGAAGAGTTCGGTGCAATGGGGCCTGTTCATGCTTTTTCATTGTACGGTCTCCTGGATAGGCACTGCATCAGCACAGTACCACGATATTTGAAATAAAATCTGTCTATGAGTTGAGAGCAGATATACTTAAGATACATGTCATACACGTAATCTGTTACCGCTTACCTCAGCGTCCTTGGTGTTGACAAACGATTTGATCAGTCCGTTCACCATCGATCCTTGAGTGTATGTAGATCAAATGTGCAGATCAAATGCTCACTTTCTCCGTTTTATAATCCAATGGTAAGGGGGCGTGTTCATACTGTTTAAATTACTGTTTACATGTAGTCACTATGGTATGGAATCCTTCAAGGGACATTGTCGCGTTGTCGCATTGTCGCGTTGTCGCCCTCTCAAATACAAGCAAAATGAGGCAACATTAACCAAAACGCAACACGCGGCATTATCGCGATGTCGCGTGTCGCGTTTTGAATAATAAAATTGTTATTCCTCCAGGGGCGACACGCGACATAGCGACAATTTTCAAGGTCAAAATATGTCACATTGTCAGATGTGTACAAATAGCCTAAAATTTACTAAAACGCGACACGCGACAATGTCCCTTCTCGGATTCCATACTATGGAGACAAGGGAGATAAACCGTTGTGGACTGCACCTCACAGACATAACCTATCCAAGCGTTCCATTGATCTGAAAACCGAGAGTGTCTCTGACTGGGCCGCAGCTTCTCTCTCACCTCGTCACCTCTCAACCAAGTCAACCTTGCATTTCTGTCAAAAACCGAATCGTATTCTATGTGACAAAAAAGGAGAATCCTTACGAGTGGCCGGCATCACAGCGACATAACACCTACAGACATCATACAAGTCACTTCATCGACATTGTGCTGATCACACCAGAACACAAGCCACTAGATCAACATGGCAGCCTCAAATATCATACAAGTCATTAGATCAACATGGCACCCTCACATATCATACAAGTCACTAGATCAACATGAAACCCTCACATGTCAAACAAGTCACTAGATCAACATGAAACCCTCACATATCCCACGTCACTACATCAGCATGGCACCCTCAGATATCCCACCAGTCACTAAATCAACATCACACCCTCACATATCATACAAGTCACTACATCAACATGGCAAACTCACATATCATACAAGTCACTAAATCAACATGACACCCTCACATATATTACAAGTCATTAGATCAACATGGCACCCTCACATATCATACAAGTCACTAGATCAACATGAAACCCTCACATGTCAAACAAGTCAATAGATCAACATGAAACCCTGACATATCCCACGTCACTACATCAGCATGGCACCCTCAGATATCCCACCAGTCACTAGATCAACAATGCACCCTCACATATCATACAAGTCACTACATCAACATGGCACCCTCACATATCATACATGTCACTAGATCAACATGACACCCTCAGATATCATACAAGTCATTAGATCAACATGACACCCTCAGAGAGCATACAAGTCACAAGATCAACATGACACCCTCAGATATCATACAATTCACTAGATCAACATGACACCCTCAGATAGCTTAAAAGTCACTAGATCAACATGGCACCCTCAGATAGCTTACAAGTCACTAGATCAACATGACACCCTCAGATATCATACAAGTCACTAGACCTACATGACAACCTCAGATATCATACAAGTCACTAGATCAACATGACACTCTCAGATATCATACAAGTCATACATTAACATGATACCCTCAGATATCATACAAGTCACTAGATCAGCATGGCACCCTCAGATAACCCACAAGTCACTAAATCAACATGGTACCAACACATATCATTGAAGTCACTAGACCAGCATTGCACCCTCAGATATCCCACAAGTCACTAAATCAACATCACACCCTCACATATCATACAAGTCACTAGATCAACATGACATCCTCACACATCACACATGTCACTAGATCAACATGGCACCCTCACATATCATACAAGTAACTAGATCAACATCACACCCTCACATATCATACAAGCCACTAGATCAACATGGCACCCTCACATGTGATACAAGTCATAAGATCAACATGACATCCTCACACATCACACATGTCACTAGATCAACATGGCACCTTCACATATTACACATGTCACTAAATCAACATGGCACCCTCACATATCACACATATCACTAGATCAACATAGCACCCTCACACATAACACATGTCACTAGATCAACATGACACCCTCACATATCATACAATTCACTACATCAACATGACACCCTCAGATACCCAACAAGTCACTAAATCAACATGACACCCTCACATATTATACAAGTCATTAGATCAACATGACACCCTCACACATCACACATGTCACTAAATCAACATCACACCCTCACATATCATACAAATAACTAGATCAACATGACACCCTCACATATCATACAAATAACTTGATCAACATGGCACCCTCAAACATCACACATGTCACTAGATCAACATGGAAACTTCACATATCACACATGTCACTAGATCAACATGGCACCCTCACATATCACACATGTCACTAGATCAACATGGCACCGTCACACATCATAGAAGTCACTAGATCAACATGACACCCTCACATATCCCACGTCACTAGATCAGCATGGCACCCTCAGATATCCCACAAGTCACTACTTCAACATGGCACCCTCACATATCATACAAGTCACTAAATCAACATCACACCATCACAAATATTACAAGTCACTACTTCAACATGGCACCCTCACATATCATACAAGTCACTAGATCAACATGACACCATCACATATATTACAAGTCATTAGATCAACATGGCACCCTCACATATCATACAAGTAACTAGATCAACATGACACCCTCACATATCACATGTCCATAGATCAACATAGCACCCTCACATGTAATACAAGTCATAAGATCAACATGTCACCCTCACATATATTACAAGTCACTAGACCAACATGACAACCTCAGATATCATACAAGTCATACATTAACATGACACCCTCAGATATCATACAAGTCTCTAGATCAGCATGGCACCCTCAGATAACCCACAAGTCACTAAATCAACATGGTACCCTCACATATCATTCAAGTCACTAGACCAGCATTGCACCCTCAGATATCCCACAAGTCACTAAATCAACATCACACCCTCACATATCATACAAGTCACTAGATCAACATAGCAAACTCACATATCATACAAGTCACTAAATCAACATGACACCCTCACATATTATACAAGTCACTAAATCAACATGACACCCTCACATATTATACAAGTCACTAGATCAACATGACACCCTCACATATCATACAAATAACTTGATCAACATGGCACCCTCAAACATCACACATGTCACTAGATCAACATGGAAACTTCACATATCACACATGTCATTAGATCAACATGGCACCCTCACATATCACACATGTCGCTAGATCAACATGGCACCGTCACACATCATAGAAGTCACTAGATCAACATGACACCCTCACATATCCCACGTCACTAGATCAGCATGGCACCCTCAGATATCCCACAAGTCACTACTTCAACATGGCACCCTCACATATCATACAAGTCACTAGACCAACATCACACCATCACAAATATTACAAGTCACTACTTCAACATGGCACCCTCACATATCATACAAGTCACTAGATCAACATGACACCATCACATATATTACAAGTCATTAGATCAACATGGCACCCTCACATATCATACAAGTAACTAGATCAACATGACACCCTCACATATCACATGTCCATAGATCAACATAGCACCCTCACATGTGATACAAGTCATAAGATCAACATGACATCCTCACACATCACACATGTCACTAGATCAACATGGCACCTTCACATATTACACATGTCACTAAATCAACATGGCACCCTCACATATCACACATATCACTAGATCAACATAGCACCCTCACACATAACACATGTCACTAGGTCAACATGACACCCTCACATATCATACAATTCACTACATCAACATGACATCCTCAGATACCCAACAAGTCACTAAATCAACATGACACCCTCACATATTATACAAGTCATTAGATCAACATGACACCCTCACACATCACACATGTCACTAGATCAACATGACACCCTCACATATCATACAAATAACTAGATCAACATGACACCCTCACATATCATACAAATAACTTGATCAACATGGCACCCTCAAACATCACACATGTCACTAGATCAACATGGAAACTTCACATATCACACATGTCACTAGATCAACATGGCACCGTCACACATCATAGAAGTCACTAGATCAACATGACACCCTCACATATCCCACGTCACTAGATCAGCATGACACCCTCAGATATCCCACAAGTCACTACTTCAACATGGCACCCTCACATATCATACAAGTCACTAAATCAACATCACACCATCACAAATATTACAAGTCACTACTTCAACATGGCACCCTCACATATCATACAAGTCACTAGATCAACATGACACCATCACATATATTACAAGTCATTAGATCAACATGGCACCCTCACATATCATACAAGTAACTAGATCAACATGACACCCTCACATATCACATGTCCATAGATCAACATAGCACCCTCACATGTAATACAAGTCATAAGATCAACATGGCACCCTCACATATATTACAAGTCACTAGACCAACATGACAACCTCAGATATCATACAAGTCACTAGATCAGCATGGCACCCTCAGATAACCCACAAGTCACTAAATCAACATCACACCCTCACATATCATACAAGTCACTAGATCAACATAGCAAACTCACATATCATACAAGTCACTAAATCAACATGACACCCTCACATATTATACAAGTCACTAGATCAACATGACACCCTCACATATTATACAAGTCACTAGATCAACATGACACCCTCACATATTATACAAGTCACTAGATCAACATGACATCCTCACACATCACACATGTCACTAGATCAACATGGCACCTTCACGTATCACACATATCACTAGATCAACATGGCACCCTCACATATCACACATATCACTAGATCAACATGGCACCCTCACATATCAAACAAGTCACTAGATCAACATGGCAACCTCACACATCATACGAGTCACTAGGTCAACATGGCACCTTCACATATCACATATGTAACTAGGTCAACATGGCACCTTCACATATCACAGATGTAACTAGATCAGCATGACACCTTCACATATCACAGATGTAAGTAGA